ATCAAAAATGGCGATCTTTAATACTTTTGTTCTGTAAGAATTTCATCATTAGTAAAACCAAGACCTATTGGAATATTCGTAATTTTAGAGAATCCTTCCACTAAGCGAGAAAATTCGAGATCTTCATACATTAGGGTGCTTTTAGCCTAATTAAATCAATAAATGATAAATAATAATTGATTATCATTGATAAATTCGACAGCGTAAAAATGTAGTACTTTGCCAAACTGTTCAGTTAAAAAAGAAGAGATATTTTCTGGTTGCACATCTTGAGTATTAAGGATGCTATGATCTTCAATTTGTAATAGCCAGGTAGCCTCATCACGTATAAATGATAGCAACCAATGCATAGTACGTCCAGGCACTCTACTTATATGAAAAGCCTGTTTCAACAACATTATAATACAAAATCTGAAAGGAACTATATTAATGTGAGGTTATGTGATACGCATTGACTATAATAGATGCACGTATGTTATCTTACAGAAATTGGGTTGTGGTTCAAAATTATTGAATAATTTCAATAAAGGAATATAAGCTTTAGGATTTATAGATTCGCGAAATCTTTGTACCAGTAAACGAGTAATAAAAATTCCGTTTAACTGAGTTCATAGGCATTCACAAGTGGAAAAGTAAGTCTTAAATTAAATTAGCCTTTTTCAAAAGGATAAATAAAACCTTACTGTGAAATCACTATTAGGTGTGATTTTATCAGAACAAATATATGCGAAGAGAACATCTGTGTAGGATTCGAATGAATCACTTTTAAGCCGGTAAAGATTTTAAGATAAATTTTCATTATGTATAAATGATTAGAATAATCAAATTTTATTGTGAACCTTTGAATTTGCGAAATCGCATTGTCTGACGTAGTGTTACAGCTATCAAAAAAATGAGCGTAAAAATAGTCTCGTGGAAGAATGAAATTTGCCTCGATACGATGAAACAACAAATTAACAAAGGTTTCTGGATTCATGATTTGTGAATGGAGAGGGATTTTGATCAAATAAAAAAAATAATTGTCATTTATATGGATTAATTCAATATACCCAAGTAAATCCATTTGTGCAACATCATTTTGACATGCGCGTGATTAGGATCAAAACAGAAATACATCGATAAAAAAAACGTATATATAGAATCACCTTTTTCTTTGCTACCTTTATTTTTCTTTTACGCTCTTTACCTTTTTATGCTAAGGCCAGACCAATTAGATTCTCTGTTTTACATTATCCCCCCCTCCCCAGCGTCCCCCCTCTCCCTCATAGTAAAAAAATTTAGATAAATATATATAGGGCTTCGGGATATTTCAAAAAATTTTTACCCTCCTTCCCCCTCCTCCGGAGGGGGGTAATGTAAAACAGAGAATCTATTTGGTTTAACCTAAGTAAT